TTTTTATAAATTAATGCCAGAAGAACATGCTTTTACTTCTCCAGAACGCAAAAATATAAAAGTATTTTTGATTTTTTTGAGAATTTGAATATAGAGAATTTATATAGAAAGTCCATAGAATTTTTCTACAGGTAGATTCTATGGACTTTCTATATAAATAAACATGATTAAAATTATCATTAAATAACGTTAATATTACCTTCATTACATAATTTTACCGTATTATAATTTATATTGCTCTAACAATGATTTAAAGTAGGAAACTTTTGATAAATAAAGCAATTATTGTTATTAAATGAACATTGTAATCAGTAATATCCTTCTGAACAAGTGTTTTGATGTTTCAGCATTTTTTATAATTACACTTACTGAATTTATGTCTATATTTATTTATAAAATATTTTTCTATTGACTGCTAAGTTATATGACAATTATAATGAATTAATATTTGCGACATATTAAGAAACAGTTCTAGGAATTTCTAGCTATTGTAGGAGTTATATGTAAATTTACACTTGTATAAGACATTTGGGTGGATGCACTGAGCTAATGTATAATTTCGTTATAAGAATTGCATATTTCTCCCACGCTTGTAATGGATAAATGTCATGTCATGTTGTTTTCACAAGTAGATTCAGTTCTTCACCTTCAAATGTTTCCTTGTGTAAATAATACTTATATTAGATACTTATAAATTAAAATAAATTTTTCATATTAAATTATTCGTACAATCGGTACCGGATATATATTTTATTTGGCTTTATGTATAAATATGGGGATCTACTTTTCAAAAGTCAATAAGTACCATTAAAAGTAGGGTGAAATGAAACAATCTGAGTGGTATTTTATGTATTTATGGCATTTATATAACGACTTTAAAGAAATATATAGTAGCGGATTTTGGGTCCTTCTTTATTGTCTAATAGTAGGAGCCTTTTTTGTATAAAGCAGGACATAACTTACTAGAAACATATCTGTTTGAGGGATCCTCTTACTTGCAAACTGATAAATTCGACATATAAGTAATTAATTAAATTAAAGTTAATTATAATATAAATAATTTATTATAACATTTTGCTAAATTTAAGTTTATGAAACCAGAATTATGAAGAAAAAAATAGCGTAAAAGTTTTGAGACTCCTTAGTTCATGAATCAGGAAATCAGAGATAGAAAAGGCTAGAACTTTGATTGTTATCTATAACTTCCTACTCTTTAGCTTAGTCAGCTTATAAATAAATCTGGAATTGTGTCTGAAATTAATTAAAAGAACCTTGATAGTTGATAAGAAAAAAGTCCATCAATAGTAGAAGCATTATTTATCAAAATTATTGTTATGGTCTGACAGGTTAAATATCACAAACATGCTTATGTAAACTAGTAAAATAAATGATATAGTCAACAAGTTTGCATATTTACAAAGGCGAATAGAAATGCAACTCATAATAAGATTAATATTCTTAAATAAATGTTGTTTAAATTAAATTTTATCTAAGATTCAAGCAATTTATTTTGTAAACAAAAGGTACATAAGATTGATATGTTTACGAAAAAAGATCATGTAACTAAAATAGCGTCTATCATAATGAAATTGGAAAATATAGGAACTGAATCATCGTGTAGAGTAATAAGAAGTAGAGGACGTCTTGTATTATAATGACAAAGCGCAGATATTTTCTGGATCTAATCATTATTCTGTCGACGACTCTAACAAACTTCCTCATCAAAATAGGATCTGTCGTTTCTATTCTACAAGCATAGAAACGACCGAGTTTTACTAACGAGGTACACTTTGCTAATGTCTCATTCCTGTTATTAGATTGTAGAACCGTTGAAACGAACGTTCTATAAAAACTGCTATCTTCTACTGATAATGATGACGCTGTTATTATCATGTTTTCGCCTTTGAAGAATCAATAACCAAACGATCTTCTTCATAGTTAGTATTCTTGTTTGAGTATGTTATGCCAAATGTCTCTAGCAATGATGGTAACGGTAAAATATCATGTACTTACGTCCGATATTGGATAACTCCAAAGCGGTACTTTTTTACCTGTGTAGATGAATTTCTTGATCAAATTTTCTTTTGAAAATCTATTTCTTTTTATAAAATATATATTAAATTAGCTTCAATTTCTCTTTGTTGAAATTCTGTTGAAATGAATTGATTGTTTCTGCGAATTTAACAAGGAGCGCTATATTTCTCGGTAATGAAATTTTATAGATTAAACAATTAAATAACATCAAGTATTCGAGTGCTCATTATCTCCAAAGATAATTTGTACTTAGTTATAATTATTCGCATTTAAGTGGTGACGAAGATAAAACATAAATAAAACATTTTTCATAACCTTATGAATGCATAATTCAAAATATATTCATAGTTTCATCGCAAGTTATTAATTAACCTGTACGTGTACATTCTGTAATGAATTGTTTCTGTAATGAATTGTTCATTACAATTCTGTAATGAATTTTTCAAATTACGAATTTAAATATCATTTATATTTTATAAAGAGCGTCATAAATTTAAATACTTGATCGTTTTTACTTGCCTTACTCGTAGCCTATTTATATAAATCAATACTGTTCTTACAAACATCTTATGAATAGTCTTCTTATCTATCCACATTTTGATATCAATAGATATAAAACATTATCTAAAAACTCTATCTATCTTACACACACACACACATATATAGGCCTATATATATATATACACTATATGTGTACTGTACTCATATAGATATACTGTATATTAAATGTTATCGTATATTTATTCACATCCTATTTTAAACGAGATATTTTTAAGCATTGAAATATANAAAAAAAGCGCTTGACAAACTTGCCCCGCATGCCGAAGTTGCCCCGGTCTCCCCTATATTATTTTATAATAATATTATACAGGATATTTTTTGAGATATTAATTTATGAATTTTTTAGTAAGGTTATTTTAGCATATTTTTCGAGACTAATCAGTCCAAATGCAACCTATTCTTGTATGGTACAAGACTAGGTTTCCGCGTAACATTTCAGGTTATGCGAAAGATATTTTTGTGAACAAATTAGTACCAAAACTCACACTATAGCACTCTTGGTTCTGCAAGCAACGAGAGAGCAACAAAAGTTTATTTCTGAGAACGCTTAAAAAGTGTGGTTTATCGAGGTTCTGCTGCAAATCCATCAGTACTCAAACTCAGTATCACACTGAATGTGAAGCAATGGTAGATTAATTAAGACCTTTTTGAGTACTTAGTCTCGAAATATGTGAATAACAATATGAACGTGTTCAGAACATCATTGCACTAACTCTTCGGTGATATCATTCACTAAACGAGTTCGTGACACCGTGACACCCCAACACATTCGTGTTGTTACTCACGTAACTCGAGACTTGGTGTCCTGGTCTTCTGAGCACAGAAGATTAAATTATGATAGACAATTTCAACAGTAAAATTGCTTTATTTTTTTTTACAATTTCCGCCACTAAATCACAATTATATTCGATCATTGAAAAATAGTCTTTATTGCTTTCAAGTTTTACACTTTCAAAATGGAAATCACCATACCCCTGCGATTCTAAGCTTTCTGTATAGCATGGGTGACTTCTGATGATCTGTCCTATTGTGAATCAAGGGCTTAATACCTAAATAGGGGCCAGTTTCCCCATAGAAAAATTTCCCAAGAGGCAATCTTCCATTTCTACAATCCTACACTTAATTTAGAATGAAATAAATGAAACCTGACAAAAATGAATTCAGAATAAGTCTCAGTTCATCATTACAAGATTATTACTTTTTAAAATAAGTTATAAAATTTATATTGCTGAAAAATTACTGAGAAATGTTTTAAAAATTNTTTTAAAAACGAAACAGTAATACTAGAAAACGAGAAATTAGATTTCTGTTTCAGCATTTACATTCAAGTTAAATTGATTCAAAATTCATGCTTAGTAGTTAATGACTAAAATGATTTAAACAAAATGAACGGTAGAATTGTTCTTAAAGTTGGTTAATTGCAAATTAACCCAATTTACGATATGTGTCAAGAGACTTAGATATTTGATTTAATCACAAATTGTTTTCTCTCATTTTCTAAACAAGTATTACCATGATAAACCATAATTAATTAGCACATTGCTATTAGTTGAATGACAATACAGAAGTATGATAATTTGATTAAATTTTCTAAGCCTTTCATCAATAGAAATGAAATTAATAAATATATAATTACCCCAGGGACTTGTTCATGATTAGTATTATCTTCTGAAAGTAGTTTTATAAAAGAGGTAAGCTATAGTCTGGAGAATTTTCCTTCTCTTTGCTATTCCGAGAGATTGAAGCATTGTAAATTAGTGTAATTATTTTCAACCGTAATGAGCTTATCTCTTTTGTGTATTAATGGGACGTAGTTCGCACAAAAAGAATGGAATTCATGTTTTCATTCTGTAATTACATCTTGCTGAATAGGACTCTATCCTCTGCAACCTTTTCTGTTTTCTAAAGAATATTCTTTGTTTTATGTTTCGCCCAAAACTTCAACCTTCAATTTGATTAAAATAAAACTTGATAAAAGTCTTTAATGTTGCCTTTCGATAAAATTCTAGCATAAAGTGTACGACTTTTATTAAAACTTTTAACGATTTGCAAACATTTTTCAATATATAAAATACACCAATGTACGATCAAATAATTTCACCTTTTATAGTGTTAATGAGGTACTTTAGTAGGAAGTTAATAGCTTTTCTAAGGCAACAAAAGTTTAACAACTTGCCACTAAGATAAAGTTTTTTAAAAATCATTGTTCTTTGAAGATAAATTTAAACTTCTAGTTAGGAGATTACTTTCAGGATTTATTTTTAACTAATGTTTATAATTATGAAAGGAGAAGCACTTAAAAATAAATTTAAACACTTCTCTCATAGATAAAGTAAACTTTTAATCCGTTAATATAAGCTAATTAGAATTTTATCCATTAAAATTGCATATTAAATATAAATTTGATTACTTTTTTAGTAAGAGGTCAGCAATATGTTCGTGGAGACACGAGAGGACCAACATTTAGGCAGAAAATACCACATCAATTGATTTTTTCCAATAACACTGGTGCAGATATAAAGTGCTCAGCAGAAGGTATTCCGAAACCCAAAATAATATGGAGAACCAAAGAAGGAATCGATGTCACTGAAGTCAATGGATTAAGATATGTTAGATCGGATGGCTCACTAGTTTTTCCACCTTTTTCTTCAACCCAATACAGACAAGATGTACACGGATCACTATACTATTGTGTGGCTTCTAATACAGTTGGTTCCATAAGAAGTACTGAAGTACAAGTGAGGGGTGGTAAGTATTGTATACGTCAATTCCTAAATTTTTCATAGAAAGTATTTTAAATTTAATGCACCAATGTATCACTAGTAATTATTTTTCGTATCTATAAATTCTTATATTATAATTTTATAATTTTTAATTACATTTAAAATAATTAATGATAACTTTTAACAATTTCAAAAATATATACATGTTAAGATCTCAGAGAACAATAGATTGATTGATTATTAAGAAAATGGTGAATTGATATTAATTTCTCTAGCTGAGGAAATCATATTAGTAATCAACACATACAACAGAACAGTGACAATAATATTAATGTCGAAACATGTGATACTACATCTCTATTCTCTATCTATACAAAACTAAGAATATCTTCAATAAATTCTAACTTCCATTGTTATGCATCTAGGATAATAGAAATATTTGTTTAGAAAAAAATGTGTAGAGCGTAACATTATTATATGATTTATCTAGAACTGTAAATAAGATTATATATTTTATAGAATTGTTAAATGCACATTTTCTGCTATATTCACTGTAATATTTACATTTGTTCCAAGTAGAATCTAAAAAGTACTTCAAAATTTATAAAAGTAATTCCAGAATTAAAATTTTAATTATCAAGTTATTTATAGAAATATAAAAAAAAATTCCCAAAATTAATATTTTAAGTACAAATTAAATATAATAAAATTTTAATTTGGATAATAATTTTAAAAATCTTATTTAACCAAGGCATTTTATTATTTTTATCAAAGTATTAATATTTTTGACGTTTTTTATATTTTTGCTACGAAGATTTAAAATTTTTATAAAATCGAGGTGATTTTACTGATATATTTAACTTAAAATTAATTCTTATAAATATATTTTTTTAATATTTTAAAATCTAGTTTGGATTAATTTATAAAATCTGATATAAAGCATAATTCTATTCTAAAAATACCAGTATAACAGTAGAGTATTCAGATGTCATCATTAGAGTCATTAGAGCTGTATCTCAAATAGGTTTATGCGTCAATTTTTGTAGATGCGTAAGCAGAGAAAAGGTAAGCTCTATTAGAAAGGTGTTTTCTGAGAACATTTATAACACACCTCTATTTTCTAATATTTTAAATCAATCAATCAGTTTATTTGTATTAAGGCCATTAGCCGGTTACAAGGGATGTATTTTAATAACAATCAATTCTTCTATCATTAAATTATACATCATCAACAACTATATTACAACTAGGTACATATACTTGAAATAAGACAATTTGTACGAAAATGAGTACATTTATATATTACACTTTACCCGTGTACATATATTTTAGTTATCTATTATTATTTGGTTATTACAATTCTACGTCAACATGAATTTCTGATATTTGTATATCCCATAAATTTGTATAGCCCATAAATTATATCTATTGAGGCTCTATTGAATACTACATACATTGCCCTTTCATTAGTACATTTTAGTAAAAATTGTAGATCAAGACTCTGTGCTAACTCTTTTGCATCTTTAGTACATTTTAGTAAAAATTGTAGATCAAGACTCTGTGCTAACTCTTTTGCATCTTTACAGTCACAAAACATATGAAATTTTGAAATCATTTTTTAACATCTTGGACACATACTGTTAGAAAATTCGATAATTTTGTTATTAATTAGTATCAATTCTTTATTTAGTCTGAGTTGCAAAAAAAATCTTTTTACATTAAAAACCAGATTTGTTAAAATATATTTGTCATTAAATGGATACCTAATATTTTAAATAATGCCACTACATTTCTGAATACCATTTTTAAAAATCTATACAGTATTAACTCAGATTATTATATTACTATATCATTATTTAGTCTGAGTTGCAAAAAAAATCTTTTTACATTAAAAACCAGATTTGTTAAAATATAATTGTCATTAAATGGATACCTAATATTTAAAATAATGCCACTACATTTCTGAATACCATTTTTAAAAATCTATACAGTATTAACTCAGATTATTATATTACTATATCATCTTTCACTGCAGACAGAGAAAGATATAACAACATTACACCTCTCCTCTTAATACAATTAATATATTTGATGAATCTCAGACTTCAAAATACTTCAATATTTGAAATTTGTAATAGCTCGAGGATATTTCTCTTCATCTCTGCAAGTTTCGAGATGGCTAAAATTGATTACTACAGGTAAGTCTCAGAAATTTAGATAAACAATGGTAATTCTATCATTTATCTTTTGGGAATGAATTGCGAAATTGGGAGATATCAGCACGAACTTTTACAAATGAGTGAAACTAAACTAACATTTTATTCTCTTTGGATAATTTGTTCTTTGATAAATAATTTACATTCTGGGGGAAAAAATTCTTTTGAAGAATTAATTAATTTACTTTGAAATGAATAATTTACTAAAAACAAATATCAGTTTTTATTTATAGACTATGAAACGTTACATTAATTTCAATTTTTTTATGGGTAAAACTTTAAAGAATTTACCTTTCATCTTTATTATTCATTATTTATACAGTTTAATTCGCTTATTCTAATCACGGATATTGTTATCAGCCGTTTAATGCTATCAAAAATAGCAAATTCCAAAACATTTAAGTTACTAATACAATGCAATCCGGTTATTGTAATCACGTATTATATTATAAATTGCTTGTTGTTATAAACAGATTGTCCAAAACACGCTATATAAAATTAATTAAAAAGAATCCGCTTATTATAATCAATTGTGATAATTACACTTGGGAACAAACGATAAGAATTCTTAGAAAATTCGTACTGAATGGATCATTTCTTCAAAACTTACCTTTAACCAAAGCAAACCTTTTACATACTAAGCTGTAAGGAAACGATAAGAATCATTAGAAAATTCGTGTACCGTTGATCTTTACTNATTAATTCGGATCATAAACTGAAATATTTTATTTACATAACAATTTATTATTTAACGCAATTTATGCATTATTTTTTTATTAATATTTTAAGTGGAAAAATTACAAAAGTAATTCGTTTGTTTAAATTAATGTTTTTTAATCTGTTTTAAAACAATTTGTATTTTTCTGACCATTCTCTATTAGTAATATTAAATAAATAAAATCATTAACATTAATAATTCTGTCTTACTAAATAATTAAAACTTACATTTATTTATTTATTTAACAACAAAAATAGTATATACAAATAAATTATTTAAGCATATATTTTTACAGCAATTTATATTGTCAGAGAAAGTTAAAGTTGTTTTTACTAAAAACAACTCATTTATTCGATTGCAACATCATTTTTTCCTCTCTTGAATCTTCTTAGTGATAGGAACAAGCAGAAGTTCAGAACTCTATTGTAACCATATGTTCTATCTGAAAGTGAAAGCAAATTTGTTTACTTTGTATTTATGCTAGGAAATTGCCGTTAATGTCTCGGCAATAAATTTTAACGTCAGAAAAACTGCATGTAGATCATCATTCTCCATTATGAGATGGCGGGTGTGTCAAACAGCTAACATAACTCCACAAGTCTGTTCAAATATCCTCTTTAAAAGATAGTCTATTAATAATTGACTTAATAACCGAGTTTAGTCGTTGCCACTGGACCACTCCCTTACTTACGTGATTTCTATATAATTGGGTGTAATGTTATTTATCAGAATAATTCATAAATTCTGTCGTGTTTTATATAATAGAAACAGTAATATTGAATGGTACGTGATGAAAATATAATCTTAAATTTTGTAATGTTTACAGAATTAGATGTTATTCACCTATAATACTTCATTTTCTCTAATTTTCTCTAATGCTATAATTCCTCTTAATTTGTCTCGACTGTAAACAGGAAAATTAATTTGATTGAAGTAATTAATTAAAAATAATCATTTTAACGTTATTATTATTTTTTTTAATTTAGTAATTAATTAAAAATAATCATTTTAATTTAGGAAAATAAATGAATTTATATAAATATAAATTTTAGAATTCAAATAATCTCTTGTGAGTGATAATTGTAATAAGTTGAGTTCAATAATGAAAATTTGTCTATCCGACGTTATCCGCTGATTAACAAGAATTTCAAGTCCCAGAGAGATTATAACAAGCGGATTCCACTGTAATTGAAAAAGTTAACAATAATTATTGGCAAATCTTCAAGTTATATAAATTTTAAATTGTTCTAAAATGTCGTTTTAGAGTTAATAAAAACCTTAATCTGTTTAATGTTGTTATTCGATTATTGTTATCAGTATAGTTGATTACAATATGAGGATTCTACTACATATATATTTAAGATATAAACACGGCAGTTTTGTATGAAGCTAGAAGTTAAAATGTTACCGGTTAACTATATTTAACAATATATTTTCTGAATTTTATATTTAGTTTTTATATTTGTCCATTAATTAAGAAGATGTTTATCCTACACGTTTATCTACTTTTTAATTTTCTATAGGTAGTTGTTTATTTTCTCGACAAACTTTCATTGTTTGACTATTTCATCAATTCTATTTCTGAACAGTACGAAGAAGAACATTTAAGTAAAGAACCAAAAAGAATTCTCTCCTTAACAAATCCTGACAACAAAAATAACAAAAAGCTTAATTAATCGTAGAGGTATTGTGTCTATAGAAAGTTTCAACTCATAAAAGTATAGAAATTCTAGCAAAGAAATACAAATGTTCGATGTATTTTATCTGGAGAACAACTTGAAGAACGTTCTTGACAACCCGTTAGCTCACACCACTTAGAAAACACTTTATGCTCAACGATGGAGAGGTTCTTGAATTAATTAATTATATCGTAACAAATTGAACTTTCGAGAAATCTTCAAAGACAGGTAACATTTTCTCGATGGTTTTGAAAAATTTCATTTCATGAAAACGTAGTTAATCCAACTTTATTGATAAATTTTGAAGATTTATTAGACCTATTTGTTACAACATTTTAGTTCAGATAGGTCTTATAATTTATGTTCTATATCGCCGTTATTGATGATTTTAATGTATTTTGATAAAGGTGCT